CGTTGGTTCAGTTGAAATTTAGAATTGTGCAGAAAAATGACCAAATAAATTCATTTTGCTTATGCGAAATTCCATTTGAAACGAGTCACGCTGTTGTATTGCTGGAGATGGAGTATTATGCATAATCGACGTGAACGGGTATTCGATGTATATCACTGAATCGACATTTTCAGTTTATGCGATATTTGATGCGACCAAACAGTTCACTCGCAAAACGAATCACCGAATTCGCCGCAAAAGTCTCTTTCGAGAGTGGTGAGTCCTCTGCCATCGAACCGATCCGTATTGGCCTTGAGAGCAGAAAAGAGTTGTTATCGAGATCAATTCTCTCCTAGCTTTCCAATCAATAATTAATTTGAATGATTTAGTTCAGGAACTATAAAAACAAAGCTCAATATCAGTAAGGAGCTCAGTACCAAAAGTCAGCTTAGCTTTCGACGTTTTGTGGATAGGATGAAATATTGGAACATTAATGGGAAATGATAGCTGTCGAACGATTGAGAAGTTGTTCGATGAACGAGTTGTAGGGCCGATTGTTGGACTGCAGATTCGAAGGACGGACAAGGTTGGAACTGAAGCTGAATTTCATGCACTCTCCGAATATATGAAGTGGACAGAATATTGGTTCCGAATACAGGAATATCGCCACGGTAAAGCAGTCAAACGACGTATCTATGTGGCCACTGACGATCCAACAGTGTTTTCGGAAGCGAGAAAGAAGTATCTCATCCGTTTTCTTGCCAGATATTCATGTTCCATTTTAGATTTATCCACGTCGTTTCTGAATGCAATAATTTCAATTCATCATATTTCGGGAGGTAATCATCTCAACTTTTCGTTGATCGCAGTGCAGTTGAACCTCTGTTGCGCCATGAAGGTCATGAAACTAGCTACGGTGGTACCTGTCTAAAAAGCATGACTTTCTGATCCAGTAAAATCAGTGTTAGACAAATGCACTCTAAAATTGTGAAGTCGACAGTGAATTAATGGTTGACAATGTTTTAATGATCGCCAGCGGAACAAAACCAGTTTTTGAGGATGTTGAATAATCCCTGATGAAATCATCATATTCGATTCAGATATCCCAACTATGAGGTATTTGGTGATGCGGCTATATCGAACACTGCCAATACGAGGAGTCGATATTCGATTGAATCACTGTATGGTGTGATCATCGATATTGAGATGCTTGCCAGGTTCTTTGCTTTCATTCCATTGAATTCTCACACACCTATTCGATCAGTACTTTGTTCTTTCTTCATAACATTATTGAATCCATCCAAGTGGAATATTAACAAGTGATTTCAGATGTGACTATTTGGTGTGTACATTTAGTTCACAAGTGTGTCGAATGGGTTATGAACTTATGCAAATACGGGTCGGTGATGCGGGTGATAACTTTCATTCTCTTGATGATCTTTACTATTACGGTGGACAACAAGGTTCTTCCATTGCTCCTTATCAAACTTTCACTTATGTTCTCCATATCATGTCAAATTTCATAGTTAATATGGGGTGATGCAACATGGAATAAAACAAATACACGATGAGATAATAATAATGCGAACGATTGAAGCATTCCTGGCTTCGAAAATTTTCATTAATTCATAGTGATGAAGTCTAACATAGCATCAGCTACAATACAGTGCATTGCATTGGAAAGATTTACCGACCACGATGCACTCTGCTCGTTATTAAGGAACTGAATTGCCTGAGTAGTGATTTGAACACATTTTCGGAAAACGCAGCTGAACAACATTGTGTTTTTTGGTTACTTCAGCTCATGAGCAAGTGGTTGTGGAGTCGTATCAAGCCGAGTCAAAGGACGAAATCGATCTGGAGATCGGCGATACGATCGGCATTGCGGGCAATCACTGGGACGGCTTTTCCAAAGGCACAAATCGTCGCAACGGAGCAGTCGGCCTTTATCCTTCATATAAAACACGCGAGAAATGGATCATTGTACCATTCCCTTAATCGATTCCTTCACATCACTGATAAGTTATTGTGTTTGTTGACCAATGCACGACCAACTGATTGATGATGCTCGTTGTAGTTTCAAACTGTACGAATAGGAAAAACGCCATTGTCAAATAGCATTCTAGTCTTGGGATCGACACAACGGCGACGATGTACCTTAAACAGGTACATCAGCAGCACTCCGCATTTCGATTGACCGCATTATTGACGGGCTAGGAAAAATTGAGCGACAGTTGAATGCAAACGCACTGATTGATGAAAATCTGAAAATACTGAAGTGTACGGCACGAAGGGTTGGTCGAGAGAATCCACGGAGATTCGGAAACTATTGCGATATTTTCTTAGGACTGATTGAAATTAGTTATTATGCTGTAAGACAGCACGTTCTTATGGTAACTTAGAGTATGGTGCAAGTACACTGCTTGCAGTGAGGTAGGGCGAAACAGCTAGCGCTTGCAGAACAGTGTCGCATTTGCTGCATGTCTCCATTGATGTCCTTATTAGAGAATGCAAGCTCATGAAACAAGTCGAGATTCATCATAAAGTGTTCGATATGTTGTCAAATAATCATGGATGCAATTGCACTGTAGAGATTACTCGAAATTCGAGAAATCGCCGTTATTTCAATGTTCCCGTGATCAGTTACCCCCAGTGGATATCTGAACATTTTAAGAATATTTTTGTTGTTTAATGTTTCATTGAGCATTGTTCGCTTGTTGTTATTATCGTTAACGTTATTGTAATCGTCATTATTATTGTTACTTCAGTTGCTATGATAATTTGCTCTTTTATAAGTCTCGCCATTGTTGTTGCTATATTATTATCGGTGATACTTTCGTCTCTTCTCATTATTGTTATGATTTTTTCCTTGTAATAATTTTCATTACTATTTCATTCTCCTGCTTTTGCTCAACAAAAAACTGTGTTATAGTCTTGTGCTACTTGCCGTTAAAACCAAACGAATGTTCAGTCTGTTTTCCGATCATACTCTGATCAAATGACACTTTTCATGGTTCTTCATTCGTTTTTCTAAATGATCTGTAAATGTGAATGTGAGGACAAAATCATTCAGCTAATCGAATAATTGCACCAGAACAAGATATAATTTCGAGGTAAAATACTTTCAAATGACACATGATGACTTCTAGGACAAGATGAATATTTTGTTTGAATCTTTATGCTTCAATGAAATTTACAAATTCACGCAAGGAAGGTCACCTAGAAATCGTGCTGATGCAGTAGTAAATCTGAGTGTGCTCAACTAACGAACAGCTAAAATTCTGCTGGACCCTGAATCTGTAATTTTGCTGACGATCGTTTACTGCGTTGTGATCGCGTTCTTCGTGATAAAATATTTCCTCTCATATTGACTGATTCTGTAACTGATTCGCGATCAGTATAAGTTCTTTGCAATGCATTTTGCTGCTTGCTAACTACCGAAATAGAATGTGCATTTTTTGGAATAACACAGTTGAAACTACATGTCTTATGTATTTACTCATTATT